TATCGAACCGAACCGTGGATTTTGTGAATCGTTCCACCCCTAATATATATATATATATATATATGGATTATTAAAGTATTTCGGATTCTCCAGTTGTGCAAGACTTTTTTCGATCGGGCTGACTTTCATCCTGATTGTGCATCGTGTAGTTAGTGTTCAGGGGGTAATGAGGGGCAATCAGCCTCTCACGACCACCTCCCAATCAGGAATTGTGACCGTCGTGGGCAAATCACTTAGTGCGCAAAAAAGGATTCTTCTTCGTCTTCTTCTTCCTCTCAGAGGAAAACGCAGAAGCATGGCGGGGGTGCGAGTCAAATGGAGTTCCTTCTGTAAAACTGACAGACCGTAGTAGCCACGTTTGCTCAGCCATGTCTTGCTCTAAATACGTCGTCGCCTTTTCTTTTTAGGGCTTTAAGCGCAAAATTGCACAAATTGCCAAGGCAGCGCGTTTCACTCTAGTGAGCTTCATATTCCTCTTCTACTCGTTTGGCTTCCATATAGACGAGTCCGATTAGCGCCATCTCACTGCGGAGCCGAGTCCCACGTGGTTTTAACCAGAACCCAGTATGTGTGATATTAGCTTTGAAAGACTCTGGGTTGATTCAAGAACTAAATCCTTTGCTTTTTTGTGCTTTCTCAGGTTCACTCCGTCTTTTTGGGATCCCGGACAGGAGCCTTACGCCACGTTCTAGAAGACCAAGCAGCTGCAGGACAGAACACTGGAGGAAGAAGTCCTGTTTCCTTCCTGAGACATATGGCAGGACATCAGACCGTAGATCTAGATTTTGTCCTAGCAAAGGGTCAGAGGTAAACCTCTGAATGTTTTTTTTTTTTTATCTGAGGGTTTTTATTCTCTTGTAATGCTGGATCGCCCTATCTAAGCCTTAAAGGTGCCGTTTCTGGTCCACATGTCATCCTTTGGCTAGCTACTTTTGGTTTCACATCAGTCGACCATCTTCCTTTTCCACCTCTGGCCCCTACAAGGGGGACAGAAACTCCCTAATTGTATGTCCTCCCCTTTTCCTGCTCAATTATATAGAAAATTCATGTCTCTTTTTTTAACCTCATTGTTTCTTTACATCTTTATTAGCATTTAGGACATGGGCTTGAACTCTAATCTGTTTAATTTCTGTTAAAACCTCCCATCTATCCCATCATAGCAACAGCCAACTCTCCTCGCCCTCTTTTAGAGCCTAAAGTGATTCCCCTCTGAACATCAAGCCGCTAGGCCGTTGTTTTGGTTGTTTTGGTGCATGGAATCAGCCTAATCGTGGAGAGGCCAGGCTACCACAAACTGATGGACTTTGACAAGCGGGGAGGGGGAGGGGGTGGCGGAGGAGGAGCAGGTGGAGGCAAGGGGGAGGCGGAGGATGGGAAAAGGATGTCTGGGAAGGCGGGAGGAAGATCAGGACATAGCGGCCGGAGTGCCGGCTCCGGCTCAGGAGTTCTGATGGTTGGACCAAACTTCCGGGTCGGGAAGAAGATCGGCTGCGGGAACTTTGGAGAACTACGACTCGGAAAGAACTTGTACACCAATGAATACGTGGCCATCAAACTGGTAAGAGTCCTCTTATTATCTGTGGGTATAATGATGATTCTACAGCCCAGACAGTTATTTTATGATGTAGACATGAAATAAATTCTATACTAAATACTTCATCTGACCTCCATGACTCGTTATACGACTTAGTCAGGCCGAGTGATTTGATAGTAACTATAAACAAAAGATTTAATGTCCTGATTCTTGGTAGGGCCAAGATATTCATCCTATCTTTTAGCT